CGACTTTTTGCAGGGGCATGTAGGGACAGGACAAGGAGGAATTGCTTTAAACTGAAAGAGGATAGAATTAGATTAGATATAAGGAAGAAATTCTTTCCTGTGAGGGTGATGAGGTACTGGCACAGGTTGCCCAGAGAAGCTGTGGCTGCCCTATCCCTGGCAGGGTTCAGGGCCAGGTTGATGGGGCTTTGATCCACCTGGTCTAGTGGAAGGTGTCCTGGCCCATGGCAGGGGGGTGGAACTGGATGATCTTTAAGGTCCCTTCTAACCCAAACCATTCTATGATTTTCATCCTGCTGTTTCACTGGAGTTTCTCCTGTCATCTTTCCAAGATTTAGCTCTTGCATAGGCAAATAAATGCAACCATTATGTGCCTCTGCCTTCCTCAAATTCATCTGCTGTGGCCTCTTGGGTGATAAGCCTGGTTCAAAGCCTTTGCTTTTAAAATCCTGTTACTGTATTTATGTCACACATTGGTGTTAATTCATGCACTGAGATTGTTTTCACTGGTATTTTGCCAAAATCCTACTGAGTTTACACGGGCCGTACGCCCAGCGGCAACAGCGCATTTTCACATGTTGTTACAGGAAAGTCATGATAACCTTATAAATAAAACATATGGGCAGCATTACATCATGAGAGCCCAGCCTCACTACAGGCTCTCTTTGAAAGAGTTATCTGGTGATACTATCAGAGACAAGTCATGCAGTCATTCATCCTCTCACGTTCCTTTGGCCTTTAATTAAACAATTACTTTACAGCTTTCCTTAAATTTCAAAGCTGAATAATGTAGGACTTATTTCCTCAACTAAGGAAGGAATCACTACCTGTTGCTTTGAGCCTAGACTGACAAAAACATCACAGTTCCACAGAAAGCTGTTAAAAAAAGTTCTTATAAGTGAATTTGGGGTTCTTTGCTTTATTCTGGACCAACTTCTTGCCTTGCCTGGATGACCTATTGGATTTGAAGGTATTTTGACAAGCAAGCTCAGGAGTTGACCTAAACACCAGCATCTCTTTTTCTGTAAGAGAAAGAGCTTTGCTGTGGACTTAGAAGTTTACCTAATTTTGTTCCACTGAGAGGTAAATGATTATGATGATTAATAATAGTCAAATGAATACCGTGCCTTCAAAGAATTAGGCAGCTCGCTCTTGTTTCAAGACAGGAGAAATGCTTTGTGGTCTGGTGAAAGTATTTTGATAAAACTCAAAGAAAAAAGGGCCTGGTTGCACTAAGGCTTAGTGGTGTTTGGTGAGCCGTGGAAGAAGAAAGCATAAATATGAAACTCCTGCAGGAACAGAGATGCAAGTTAATGAAGGCATCTTAGTCTTACCAGGAGACATAACAAGATAGTGAAGTACAAACAAAACATTACCCTTTAGATAGTACAAACGGCTGGCTGGTAAAACCATGGTTACCCTTGGACAGCTGTTCTCAATGGACCAGCCCTTTGCAGATATTGATCCCACCAGACCCTCTCTCGCTGCTCCAGTGTGCTTATTCCCATTTCAGTATTGCCATCTACGGGCTCTGTCTGTGGAGACCAAAATGAATTGTGTATGACAACCAAGCTAACCCACCACCTACAAAGAGCTTTTAATTTCATTTACTTAGTCCACCTAAGTGGAAAACAGGCATTGAGCCTTGGCTGCTGTGGTGGTGAAGCCTACTGGCAGCATGGGAAAGCCCAGGAAGTGCTCCCCAGCACAGCTCAGGCTCTCTTGCTTTGCCCGCTTCTGTGCCTGACCTTGCTGGGGAGCAAAGAAAGTTTTATTTCCACTTAAAACAAAACCAAAACATACTACCTTTCAGCAAAGTTCAGTGCCAGTAGTAATGTTTCATGTGGAAAACAAAATCATAGAATGGCTTGTGTTGGATGGGATCTTAAAGTTCACCCAGTTCCAACCCCCCTGCCATGGGCAGGGACACCTTCCACTAGACCAGGTTTCTCCAAGCCCTGTTCAACCTGGCCTTGAACACTGCCAGGGATGCAGCAGCCACAATTTCTCTGGAAGTGCCTCCTTGAAAGAGGAGGTACATAGGGGCTGTCTGCTATTGAGGGCTAGTTTCTGCCCTTCAGTTCTAGGTGACTTTCATTCATAATTTCTAGGTATTTAGCATGCAAACTGCAGCCATGCTCTTTCCAGGGGGAACGTTTACTAAATGAAACATTAAAGGAATATGAAAGCTATTCTCTATTCTAATGATACTTAATTAGAAAAAAAACAAGGAAATAGAGTAAAATAATTAGTCTTAATAAGCAGTAATTGCTGAATCTTGTGCAATGGAATACCCTTTGCCATTTAGAGATAGAGAATAATGATGCTGTGGAACTACTAACAGATGCTGCTTTGAATACTAACTTAATTTGTAAAGTGTGCTAAAGCTCTTGTTTTCTTAGACTATACAGTCCCAACTGTTGAGACCCTTTTGTACTTACTATCCATTGGAATAATGTCCACAAATGTATATTGGATCAAGAGGCAAGTTATTTATTTGCATCTGAGGCAAATAAATAGGCAACAGGATAATAATGAAGTTTACAATAATTTAGTTTATGTAATGTAGAAGTTTCTCATACACACACAGAGGTGGTTTGTCTGTACTTGGTGCTTTGCACAAGTTTTTGCTTCAGATGAGAAAATCTGTTTAGTTTTATGTTTCATACTAATCTCCCTCCACACAGGGAACAGCCAAACCACTACACTGGCTGAAGCAGGGAGTAAAACCAAATCTTTGTTCTGTTAGTTTGACTTTCCCAATCTTGACAGTGAAACTATAGCTACCTATACAGTTACCTGTACAGTATTTTAAGAGGTTTGCCAAACTGGTAGTGTCTGGCTGAGCCCCCCAGGCTGGCCCAGTTTTTTTTGGGAAGGTGCGGATTAACTGCACCCGCCTGCTTTAGTCTCACTTTCTTGACCTAAAGCTCGCTCTGCCCAGTTCTCACCCCAAGCTCCTATTAACAAAAATATCAGCACAGTAAAGAGGCAGCAAGCAGGGGTCAGTGCAGCCTGCCACTGTATTTTTATGCCAATAGTTCAGTAAATCTTTTTTTGCAACCCCTTTTAACTGGGAAGACACTGCTACCAAATTTAAAAATAATCTTACACTTCTGTATGCTTTTGTTATGAGAACTTCCAAGTGTGTTGGTGAACGCAGAAAGTTACTATGTACTGCAGTCATGTGGGGTTCCTTGTGTTTTGAGCTAGTCCAGGAAGAATCAAGTAGGATCCTGCAGACAAAGACAGTGACTGGATCTATAGCTGTGAAGAGGAATCCCTCAGTCCCATCTACAGCAACTCTCCACCAAGGTTGAGAAGATGGAGATCTGAAGGTAATGCTCTGCTAAAAGAGCAGCCCTATAAAAGCAGGGCAGCAAGATGTCAGCAGCTAAAAGTCAAAGGGCAGATGAAGTCGGCAGCCCATGCTGGTGATGGGAACATAAGGAAACAGAGACCACTTCTTTGAAGTACATCTAAGGAAGAGGTGACCAGTAAGCAACCCTTCCTCTCGTCTTTGTGCAGTGAACAGAAACTTCACCCTGTTCACCATGGTATGATGACAGAGTAAATGCAGTACTATGGCTCTAAGATCAGAAATGTGAAGACTCCCTAACTCAGAGTGCTGATTATAGCTCTTTTGGGGCTTAAAGTGTATTTGTAAAAGAAAAAAAAAAAAAAAATGATGCTGACAGACTTGGGTTTTGGCAAGCTTTACACTGCATCAGGTATCATCTGCCTGGGCTGCTGTATTGATCATGGATTAGGTATCACCCATCTTCCTGCAACTACTGTAAAAATAAAAGCCCAACATGTTCTGTGTTTGAGCTAAAACAAAATCATATACCTGCATCTGATCAAACTTCTACTAATGAGTTGTTCTGACAGTGCAGCAAACTAGGATTCACAGTCCTTGACCAACAATGTTGGTTGCCTAATGTAACCCTGAGAGTGTCAGCGTCTTTTACGTGTGGTTTTGAATGATCTTTAAACCTATTCCCAGATGGTTTTCAAGCATAAAAATATACCCTGTTTTGAAAGCGCTTCAGTATGCATGGTATGTGCTCCTGCCGTTTACAGCTGAAGGAAAAACTCACCCAGAGCTCACTCACTCACTCAGACGCCAAACCCGTTGGGCCTGCTGGGTATCATGACTGACAATCAAGGCAGCGCCCCCCAGGGGCCTTCAAGGGAGGGCGTTCAAATCGCTGAGATCGATCCTACCTCCCCGGGAAGGGGAGGGCTGCATTACTGCGACACGCACACTCACACGGGCACTCCAGGAAGGTGAAGGGAGCCTTGGGAAATTCTCCGAAGCCTTCCTGGAAGCGCCTCAAGCCTCCCAGGGAGCAGACCCTGACAGGCGAGCCGGCGGCAGGCCCGGGCAGTGTGCGGCCTCGCCACCGCTCCGCGCTGCAGGGGCTCATCAGGTGAGGGCTTTATCCCGCCGGCCCCCGGACAAAGCTTGTCCTTCCGATCAAGCCCTTCCTGCCAGACCAACCGCGGTGCAGACCGGCTGGGATCGCGAAGTCACCCAGGAACGCTCCGGCCGCCCTCCGCGCCGCGGAGGAACAGGCAGCGGCTCCCAGGCAGAGAGGAGCCTGGTGGGAGGTGTCCCGGGAGGGGGCGGCTCCTCATGGGCCTTCCCAGCTGAGGGGCTCCTCACAGCTCGGAATATCCTGCGGGAAGGGCCGTGGCCGCAGGGAGCTGCTCAACGCCCACCACCGGTAGGGGCTCGGCCCTGCTCAGCTCGCAGTGGCTGTGGTGGGCGCGGCACCGGAGCGAGGGGCCCCGGGAAAGTCGCCAGGAACGGGAATAGGAGGAGGCCAGAGCCCCGCCCGCCCCTCCTCTTCCGGGGCGCCCGCCCTCCGCCCGCCCTTTCTCTCCGCCGCGCCCGTAGGGAGCAGCTGCGGCCGGCACGGCCCGTCGGGACACGCCCCGCCTCGTCGCCGGGCACCTGCTCGGGGCGGAGCGGAGCGGAGCGGCTGCGGCCGGAGCGGGCGGCTGGGAGGCATTGGCGGCAGCAGCAGCAGCAGCAGCTCTGGAGGCGGCCTCGCTGGGGGTGAGTGTGGGGCCGGCAGCGGCCCCACGGCCTTGATGGGGCCTGGTCAGGCCCCGCCTGGTCCAGGCGCGGGGGGGGGGTCGGGCCCGTGTGGCGGAGCGGGAGGTGGGTGGCGGGGCCCGGTAGCGGTCATTGTCCCTGTCAGCGCCTCTTGCGCGCTCGGCACCGGATTGGGCCATGCCCCGCCCCGGCAGTTGGGAAGGAGCGGGCCAGGCGCTGGGGCTGCTGTGCCGGGCTGTGGTGCGCGGAGCTGCACCGCCTCCTGCAGCGTCCAGTGGAGGGCCTGGCGGGCCCGAGAGGCGGCCGGGACGTGCCGCTTTGGTCCCTCTCATCGATCCGGGCGGCTATGGCCGGCGGCGGTGTGTGCTGCGAAGGGGGGCTGCTGCACCCATCTCGGGTCTGTTAGTGCCTGGGTGGCCTGGAGCAGTTGTGTCTGTAGCCCGCCTCTCACCGTGTGTGTGTCCGTGTCGTTACGTGTGCATATATATATATATATATATGTGTGTATGCACATCAGTGCGTGTATATTTTGTGGTACGATGCGAGCATTCAGCGGGGCTTGGGAGGGCCAGGAACAAAGCATGGAGCAGGCGGAACGAGACGCCGTTGGGCTGTCAGCGCTGTGCCCCCCGTGTCCCGATGATTCCAGAAAGCCCTTTTCTCTGAGGCCCCTGCGTGAGCAGCAGAGCAGGGCTGAGGTTGCTGCTCGCTGATAGCATAAGGACAGCTTTTTCCTCTGAGGTGAACAAGGCATAATAAATACCAGCAGTCCCTGTTCCTAGCAACTTACGTGTTGTCACACACAGATTTACACCAGCTAGTGTGTTTATAATAACTTAAAAGCAGTACATTTTTTTGTATAGCGGTCACATCTTGCTTTTAGCATGTCTTTGGTCTAGCTTAATTCACATTCAGGATGCGTCAAACCAAAGCAAAATGAATTGGATTTGACTAGATCTGTGGCTTTTGGTACTTCTTTGGTTGGTTTGGCTGATTATACACCATTATTCATGTGCATCTGAGGAAGCAGTAGTGTCTTGAGAGGAATCAGTGATAGCAGTTTCCTCAGTTGGCTCAGCTCCATCCAGAGCAGCAGCTCCTAAGTTTTACTGCAATTCTTAAACACCCCAAGTCACCTGTAAATACAATACAGGTTCTTGAATTGCAGTAGGGTTTAAACCAAAGGCTACTCAAATTGCTGGGAGATTTTAATTGCCTGATTACCTTCTGTGTTTGTGGGCCTCAAGGAAAAACGAATGTTGTGTGAAAGTTTTGTTGGGTGTGGATGGCTGGAGGAAGAGCATGGAGGAGGATGCCAGGAAGGGAGGGGAAGAACTATGCAAAAGGAATGGAAGGATCTCTGGTGACAGAAGCCAGGTTGTGGCAGCCTGTGAGACACTGGGCTGGGCAGAGAGGGACAGAGAACACGGATGACTAAGTCTTTCCCCTTGTTTTCATTTCTCCACTCTGAAGGACTAATCAGAAGCTAAGAGGCTTTTTTCTGGTGTTTTGTTTTAATATTGGTGTTGATGAGAAGAGGTGAAATTAATTAACTTCCTTTAAAGGCACACCCTGTTAACCTGATAAACAGCTGTCTAAGTGAAGTGTCCATGCACTCCTCCACATCTGCCTTCAGCAAAATAACTGGTATTTCTGCCACCGCTTTTGTAAGAGCGATCAAACCAACTCTCCATCCGCCTGCGCTGAGATGGGCTTGATTTCGGTGCAGCCTTGCCTTGTGGGTGTTCACCTGTCAGGAGGTAATGTAGACAGGGTTGGTGTCACAGCAAGCTGGTGAGCAGTGTAGTTGCATGCAGTTGGGTTTGCTTTTCCTCTCTGGTGGCAGCAGGCACTTGCTGTCTGCGGGGAAGGGAGGAAACATGCCTGGGAGCCTTCCAGTGAGAGCTTATTTCTCTGGTGTGGCTGGGCAAGGCAGCCTGGGCCTCGCAGCCTCCTGGCAGCAGTGCTGTGTGGTATTGCTGATTCTAAATAAATAAAGGATTTCTTTTGGTTTTGTGGTGGTTTTGTGATTTAGGGTGAAGAAGTGAAGGTCTCCATCATGGTTTGTACGTGGTGGAGAGCTTTCAGTAGGCAGGAAGTTGTGGTTTGTCTCAGGGACTATGACAGGGCTAGATTTAATACTTAAATAGAGGTTTAATGTCCCCTTAGAAACTAGTAGGCAGAAGTGGCTGAGGATGGTGCTGTGACATTTCAGGCTCTCTAATAGATGTGTGTTAAAGGCCTTTAATTCAGAGCATTATAGAAATAGAGCACCAATATGTTTATGGGTTGTGGGGATTTTGTGTTAAAAAAAAAAGTGTTTGAGAGTGAAACATAGTGAAATATTTAATTTATTATGTGATACAGATTTGCAGTTTTATCCTGCTCAGTCTTTCCAAGTTGGCATCGTAATCTGTTTTTCTGCAAAGGTGAGGTATTGCCTGCTAATTAGCGCCATTAAATGAGTTGCTTTTAAATGAGAGCACGCTGAGCTTAAGTTACATGATCAGTAGATCTACTCAGTTTTTTTTACTCCTTTGTTCAAATATGCAGGGAAATACTTCCTGTGTATCCCAAGGAATTACTTAAAATTTTAGTGGTCCATTAAGACATACTGTATGCTTCAGCTTATGCCTGTGCTTTCTGTAGTAGGTTTTCATCCTACTGTGAATGTAATAATTTTTATATGTCTACTCTGTATAGCAAGCAGAGGAGAGCGATGCTGGCATGCTGCCCCTGCATGGGATAGTTACCTTGCCAGCATGAGGCTTGGCTGTCTGTTGACAATCCTTGGTATTGGGATACAACCTGCATAAAGCCGCCTTCTCCAGCTGGTGCCAAAGAAAAAGGATAAAGCTGAGAAGGAGGACAAAAAGTTCTCTAAATCTGCAGTGGGTGCGGTTTCTGGAAGCCAGAGGCCCAGTTGCTGAGCTGACAGATGGGAGCATCGTAGCTCGCTGCGCTCCTTGGGTGGTGGCACATTTGGCCAGGACCCCTCACACACACCCCTCAGCCAGAGTGTCTGTCCTTGACTTCTTGTAGCTCATAGTCTTAAAGCCTGTTACATCTGTCCTGCCCTGAGGTAGTTAGTATGCCTTATGCTGGGAGTCACCTGTGTGGGCTGGTAAAGCTGTAACTCTGCTCCAGACATTACTTTGGTGCTGGGGCAGTTGTGCTGGAGCATGGGACAGGGTTGTGCTGTGCACTTTTTGACATATTTGCTCCAGCCCTTTCAGGGTTGGGGGATGGTGGATGAAGGTGCTAGGTGGGAGTTGTGGTTTTGAGGCTGAAGATGTTTGGTAGAAAAGTCAGGGGAAAACGGATGTATGTGTGGCCAGTGCAGCACTAGGACCCTGTGCCTGTGATAACGGTACCCTAGCTAGTCTAGGAAGCATTGGTTAAAGGAGATGTGAAGTCTTGTTGCAGATTCAGAAACATTCATGTTTCTTTTTAAGCCTGGAGTGCAGCTGAGCTTTTAATTTGATTGCATTTCTGTCAAATACTTGGCTGTCTTAGGGCTGAGGTTCTCAGTTCCTGGTTTCCCTTTCTTGACAGCCACTGCAGCATTACATGCTTTGGCATGTCCCTTGCAGCTTCCAGTTGATCTCTGCCAAGAAGACAGTCAATGAAAATCTTGTAGCTGCTCCTTACGTTTTTGGGCAGAATGAGGGAATAGGGAGCTGGGTAGTTTTTGCAGCACAGGTCAGTGTCTGTTTTCCTGCCTGCTGTGTGACCCAGCCTATGAAAGACTTGATCCCTTCCTCCTCTAAAAGATTTGTGAGGCAAGAACGGTTGGTCAATCCCTTATGAAGGGGTGAGGAATTGCATTTCCCTTCACTATTGGTGAAATGGCAGTTGAAGAGCAGCTCCAGGTCAACTGCTGTTGAACTGCTTTTTGTGTCCTGTGTAGGGTTTCTTCCCTGACCTATTGTAGGTGATGGAAGGAACCCTGAAAAAACAATCCACATATTTATGGTCTGTTTACAGGAGAGTTAACTACTACTACTCAGTCTTATCTGCAAGGTTTTAGCTGTTTGGGACTTGCTGGTGTGTGGCTCTTTGCATTAGGAAGAGCTCCAGTTCCCCTCCATTCAGCTAAATGACTGCAGTCATTTGTGGTTTCTTGTAGTTCATGCTGGGGAAAATCAAGGATATTGAAGGTTGTTCGGTTCAGGAGAGGAAGTTGTTTAAATTGTATAGCCTTTCTGATAGAACCTGTGTTTGGTTGCACTTCCTGTACAATTTCTGGTCATTTACAAATTGTGTCTCAGGATACTCCTTTCAGGTTTGTAGTAGATGGATAGTACAAAAAAATCACACTTGTCAAATCACTGATCTCTCCAGTGTGGAATCAAAGGAGAGCTGGAAGCAGGCTTGAGGCCATTTCTTGTGAACTGCTTTCAATTCCAAAAGTCAGGGAAAAGAAAGGCCAGGGTTTCCATTAATATTTAAAAACTACCTAAGCATGGTTACTGATAACTCGTCCAATGAGTTACTTATTATTACAAAACAAGCACAAGCAGCGCTGTGATTGTAATAATATTGCTTCCTAGTTAAAAAAAAAAGATAGTTTTTCATATTTTCATAGTGACAGCATCCCTTAAAGTACAGTGAGAGGACTTGGAGAAATTCAGAATCCATATTGGTACTTCTGCTTGAATGGGACCTGGCTGCTGGATGGCTGACTTGGGAACTGTAGGGCCTTTGCCTGGTTCAAGTAATTCTGCTATAATCACTTCCTACCTGGTGCCATCCTACAAAAAGCTTGCTTTTGGGATGGAGCCATATTGTTGGTCTGAGAGAAGTGATTTAGACCTGAATTTAGCAATGTGCTTACAAATTCTATATAGAAATTAATTTTGTGATTCGGTTACACTGGGAGTCTTGATTGGGGTCGAGTGAGTCTGCTGCCTTCATAGGCTGTGTATTGCATCTCTGATCTTGCAGTGAGGAAACGTATTGTGTGGGTCACTTTTTAGGAGATGCATTGAAACAGATGAACGCTGTCTTTCTACTGAACAAAAGGATTGTCTTTGAAAATTACAGTAGTCCTCTTTATCCTAAGGCAAGATCTAGGACATGCTGTCACAGACCCTTTTGTGCTTTTAGTATGATTGTCCAGCCAGTCTAGGAAGAATAAAGAATCTCTCATTATATATATTCAGTTTTTAGCTTGATTGGTCTGTGATGGCAGATGCTGGTAGACCAGGTTCTGTATAATGGTTGGGTTTAATGGTACTTTTGTCTTCTTGGTGCTTACATAGTCACTTGAAAAGAAAGGATAACATTCAGAACTGAAGGGAAGATAGAAAGATTTTGAGCGGCACATAAAACACTCTCACTTTTTAAAGCTTACAAGAAGAGAGCGTAATAGTGAATCTTGAACACTGTTACTGAGATCTATTAGCCAGGGGTGTGTTGGGTTTTTGTCTCTGAAATACTGTTCAGTTAGGTAAGATGTATTTTTTACGGGTGAGAAAAAGCAAAGTATTTTTGTCACAATATTACTTTTCTATGAAAAAAATATTTAATGAGTACTGGCATTGGGACATCATATTTAACTTTGGCTAATATAATCTCTGAGTAAGCAAAGGGCCTTAATTTATGCCATACAATCATCAGATACATGCCTTTAGAATCCAAGAGGAAATGCTAACTGCATATTTGAAAATTCAGGGAACAGATATTATATGTTGCCTTTGGGGTACTTTGGGTTTTTTTTGCTTCCCTATCGTGCTTTGTCACATGGAAAGATTCATTGCAGAGCAAATGCTCTCCTGGTAAACAGGAGACTTCTGAGATTTAAAAAGGTAAATTCAAGAAGGCTTTCTCCAGAACTGAGCTATTGCTATGTCTTGCAAATAATTGTCCAGTTAGTTTATGGTGCAACTTAATGAGCAGTAAATTAATGTTTCCAAAATCACTCTGAAATGTAGTGGGTCACTTTTGTAACGTCCACCTGTGGTAGTAGACATCAGAAGCATGCTCTGTGTGTATTCTTCTGTAAGGTACTGCTGTTTTGGCCATGAGCTAATCGTACAGAAGGATATAGCAAGGGGTAATATTTTCTTTGACCAGTTAGCATGATTGAGGGGAGTGTGAGGTGCTGGGTCAGGCATGTGGGTGCATGCTACTTCTCCAGTTTCTTATGTGTCTTAAAGCTTGCTGATTTTTCTTCCCTTTCAGTTGTTCAGGTAAAAGATTTAGTTAAAGAAATTATTTGAGCACTAGGAATGTCAAAAAGGCCATACTTGGCCAGTCCAGACTAGTTTTCTGTTCCATGAGTGTGAGTCTGTGAGCAAATAATTACAGAAAATACCAAAGCACATAGAGTGACATTGACCTGGAAAATTCTTCCAGTTTCAAGTGACTGCTTGTTCATTAATTTCAGAGCTGTTGATGGATCTGTTTTTGTATCTATTTATATTTCTGGCCTTTAGAGCATCTTGTGGTAGGTAGGAGCTGTAGGCATGGGTATGTGGTCCAAGTTCCTACTTTTAACCACTTAACTAATAACTTTATTCTGCTTTAATCCTTGTGTTTGTTAAATAATGAATAATCATTTCATTCCTATTCACCAGCCACATTACTGGTGAGCTTGCATATAATTTAATTGCTTGTTTTCTGAGTTTCTAACTTTTTTTTTTTTTTTTTTGCAAAGAAGAGCAAGAAGGGTAGATTCCATGGGTATTTTTGTCATTCTTCTGTAACTTTTTGAGAAGGGGTGCACAGAGCTGCTTCCAGGATTTAGAAGCAGTGCTTTCTGTCATAGTGCATCCATTATGTATTTAAATGTGTGTCTAGGTAGTAGGTTATTAACAAGGAATGTAAAATGAGAAGTGATCTTTTGTGCATTTTTTTAATGTACATGGATGAAGTGCGTGATGATACAGCAGTTAAGACTTGATAGAACAGTTAAAGCTTACAGGAGATCTGTAACTATAAAAAGGTATCAGTGCGTATTCCAAATTTCAATTTCAGTATATGTGAAGCTAAGAATATAACTTGATGCAAAACCATTTTTCTTTGTAAATTGGTTTTAAAGCTATCTGTCTCTCCCCCCTATCATCTGTGGCATTCAACACATACTAACAATTACAGCATTTATTTCAGGCTGCAGCTTACTTGTGAGTTTATTAGCATTTAAATCCAAAGTGAATAGACAGCATTGCAAATTGGAGAGGAAGAGGAAGCAGTGGTCAAATATTTAAATCTTTATAAAGAAAAGAAGCTGTACTTTAAAATCAGAAATCAGGAAGAAGTTACTTGTCTTAAAATGGGAATTAGAGGTAAAAGTAAAGCATACTAAAATATGCCTCACCCTGACTTTGAAGCATCTAATACTACACTTGTTAAGAACAGCCATCCCTGCTGCAATCTGTAGTACCATTCTGTTACCAGATTAGTAAATTGTATCATTTTTACAGCTTCAAGAAACTCACATAAACACATGAGAGAAGATGACAAGATCTAGATCAAGATCACCACGGTGGAAACCAAGGTAAATATTTATCTATAACTTGTGTTCTGAAATGTCGCTCTGTATAGGTACTTCTAATTAGAACTTAAAACTGATGTAAAGAAAGAAAACTGTGCCCAGAGTTGCTATTTATAAGGTGTGTTTTTTTTTCCAAACTAAATACATGTAACTTTTTTTCCCAAATTACAATTTTATTATGATTTTTTTCTTCTTAAAGCTGGAGGTGTTAGTTTTGGTGTCTGCCAGGAACCTTGCTCAACTCACATGTTTTGGAACTACTTCAAGCACAAAATCCAAGCACCAAACTGGTTCAGGTTGTTTTTGCTCAAACACCACCTGGTGCACTTAGTGTCTGTAACTCGCTTCTGGTCTACGGAGAGGGCCAGAAAATATTACTTTGTTCAAACACTTCAGGCTTTCTGAGCCTTGGGGGCTGATCCACAAATCGATTTTTAGCGCTGTTAGATTTGCCTTGCAGTGTAACACAGACTGAAATAATGGGAGTCAGTGCCCTTCTTCTTGGACAGTAGCCTAGTAGTGTTTGTCACCAGAATAACATCTGGGTTACTGCATGCTGTTAGTTACCCACCTAATCTTTAGGATTTGCAATGCAATTTTGAGGTTTTAAAGGAGGCTAGAATACAATTTTATGCTTTCAGGAGCTTGAAACTACTTTTCTGTTGGTTTTGGGTTGCTTTTCTAAATGGACTAATGAAGTTGTGATGACCAAGACAAAGGGAGTTTATTGAATAGCAAAGAAAAATGTGTGGTGGGCTTTTGTTTCTTTGTTTTTTAAAAGACTAATCCTGTCTACTTCCATACTAGATTGATAGTCTGGAATATGTCTTCCTAGTGAAGAGCAGGGAGGAATGCCCCAGCTGTCATTAAAATGCAAGCCTTAACCAGAACAAGATGGGGTGGGAGCAGCAGTATAGGCACTATTGGAAGTTAGGCACTATAGTTTTGTGAAGAGCTGTGGTTCTGAGTTTGAGCCTTTATGCAGAAAAGGAGCAAAAAGTTATGACAAATTATACATTTGAAATATGTGGACAAAGAAAGTGACTTCCTTGAATTTTTTTTCAATTTGTATTCTTAGGTTTTATTAAAGAGTGTATTGGGAGTCAACACTGAATCACAGAGTGGTTTGGGTTGGAAGGGACCTTAAAGACCATCTAGTCCAACCCCTCTACCATGGGCAGGGACACCTTCCACTAGACCAGATTGCTCAAGGCCCTATCCAGCCTAGTCTGAAGTACTGCCAGGGGTGGGGCGCAAGCAGAACTGTTATGCCTGGGGATGGCTTTCTGGTTCTTGCTAGTGGCTTGTGATGTTTTTCTTTATTTAAGGAGATTTTGGCTAAAAACTCCTAGCGGGTTGCTTTCATTTCTGTAACTGCAGGAGAAAATACAAAGCTGATTTGGTTCAATTAAGTGGATCTTAGCAATTCAGTCTTTAAAAGCAAAAACTGTAATAAGTGTGGAAGTGCTTATGTGTGCATGTGTGTAGATGTATGTATGTGTATACACAATTATACAGAAAGACCAAAACCTCTATCTCAAACTTGATCTTTTCTGCCTGTGTGATATTTTAAATACAGTATTTTATAATGTTTTTAGTTTTTGAGGTGGTTTTGTCATGCAAAAAAAAACAGAAAAGGTGGTTGTTATTTCTTCCCCTCCATTTCTTCATATGCTTTTTGCCCTTTCCCCTTCTTTCTCTTGGCACTCAAAAAATATAGGGAATGCTTGAAAGTGTGAAAATTTGTATAACAGTTGTCTTCAATGTAGTGGAAACTTCATATATATGAAATTATTTTTAGTTTTAAGTGAAAATATGCCAAGAGAAAAATGATTGACTTACTACTATTTTGAATGGGTATTCTTACTGTGAAAACTTTCCACAGAGTAAAAGTAAGCTTGATACTCCAGCCAAGCAAATGACGCTTTGAATAGCTTGGTTTAAACTTTTTTTTACCAGTTGATTAAAATTGTGTATTAAACTGTATTTCCTTAGGGAATAGCTGTGCTCATTTAGAGTTGATTCAATTTTATGAGACTACTCAAAGTGGTTTTTATTTTTGCCATAGGTCCTTATCTCCAGCATTTAGGAGTCCAGAGCACCATAGGCAAAGGCATGCTCATATTAGTTACGACTGTGAATATAAAAGCTTTCGTAAGGACCCAAAGAAGCCTATGCCGTGGAGAATAGAAGATGAAAAATACGGACAAAGCAATTTCAGGTTTGCACCTCATGGAAATAACTACCAGAGAATATATGAACGTAGATCACCTTCACCAAGCCTAAAAAGAATTCCCATGGAAGATACTTACAGTCATAAACCCTACAGAACCCATTCATCTGAAAGAACTGAAAGCAGTAGGAGATGCCAGTTACCACCAAAATACTCAGAAATACCATATAAAGAGCCTGATCGTCCATTTTACCAACACAAAATGGAAGACAGATACATGTTTGAGCACTGCAAGCTCGCTGGAAATGAAAAAGGAATGAAACCTTTTCATAGACCGTTAGGGACTTCTTGTAAACTTGAAAGAAAATGGCACGAAGATGACTTGAGGCACCAGAGGTTACACGAAGAGAAGTATGGTCAGTCACCCAGAAGAGTTTCTGATGAATTTACGGCAAGGAGCCCTTTACAGAAGAGGTATAGGAATAAAATAATTAAAACCTGGGTATTGTGGTATAAAGCCTCAAGTGAAAGTCTGTTTTCATTATAGTTGAAGATATCCACCTTGAAACACGTTGGCCACTTTGTAGGTTAATTATGGGCGACTGGTAGTAGTGAAGTATTTGTCTTTTAAGTAGATCGTGTTGATGGCTAGAGTATGAAAGAATAATATTTCCCTCTTAAGAGCCCCTGCACATCTGTACCTTGGCGTGAGGGATTATGGGTTAACTTGCCACGCATTCTGCTGTCCAACATTCTGCACATATAAGTTCTCACTTTCTTCTCTAGTGCAAGTGTAAATTGCTTTATGTCAACACAGGTATCCTGAAGATCACGATTACAGAGAATATGGGCACACGTCTAAAAGGGCTAAAGAAATGGAGAGGTATGACGGTGGAGAAGTAGCAAGAAATTCCATGTGGAAGCAAGAACGTTCTTTTCCACCCTACCAAGAAAAGGAGGAGCAGAGAAATTTGAGTGCCCAGTCCCACCGATCGGCTGAAAGGGAGTACTCGGAGGGTTCTGTCGCAAAGATAGCCTATGACTACAGTCACAAACGGCGAAGGCATCTGGATGGGGAAAAGCCTTTTTCAGACGATAGAGCACAGAAGTATGTGAAGCAGGAAGACCAGAAATACAGTTCTTCTAAGGGTGCCTGGAATAGCAAAGAGTTAGATTACTTTAGCAGTGGAAGAGCGAGATGGACTGAAGAAGGGCATGGTGAAGCACCTGTTAAATATAGTTCAAAGAAGGGCTGCAACGCTTGCATTAACTCTTCCAAAATGGATGTTGATCTGAGATCTTTTAAAAACAAACCGAAGGAAAGAGTAAGGAAAGAAGGGGAATTCAGGAAAAAAGTAGATTCCTCCAATATCCAGCATGATTCAAATCATACTGTTTCAGATGTGAAAATGTCAGATGTCAACTCTAAGAGGGAACATCTCACCATCAAAGTGGATATGAAGAAAATGGTGGCCAAGTACAGGTACTGATTTCCCCCCAGCTCTTTTTCCCAGTCTCTTTACAGTTTATGAATGTTGGAGAAAAGCATGGTTTCTTTGCGAGTTAACCAGAACAAACTAAGGTTGTACCTTTTTAAATTTGTTTAAAATATTAACTTTCCCAGTTTAAAATATTAACTGTGCTTTCTTCTGGAATATGATTACATTTTCTTGACTACCTGAGTTATCCCTCATTTCTTCCAAAAAGCAGATAACCTTTAAATTACATAAATCTCAGGCACACACATTCAGGTATTCAAGATCTAAAGTTCAATAAAGCTGTCAAAAAATGATTGCTCCCTGGGTTTTGTTATTTATTGTTTTAAGAAATCAAATGGCAATCTGTTGAGGCATCAGAACTGAAAACCAGTAGAGTCTGCTTCTGTCTGTCTTCTGTGGAATACTTGTGGTTATTTAGCATTCCCAGTGTGACTGATTTGGGAAAAAAGTGGTCCTGCTATGAAGATTTAGATGATGGATACATGGTAGAGAGTAAGCAGCTTGGTTCATGTAGATTTTTGCAGGCTTTTCTGGTTTGTTGCCTTACTATTGCAGGCCAGAAAGTCCTATAGTGGCAGTAATCCCTTTTGGGAGGAATTACCTTCCCTTCCAAAACTGTCAGGCTTCATTTTAAAGGTATTTTCTCTCTTGTCCCAAATAAAACATCTGTGTATTTATTTTCCTTCCAGTGTTTCAGGAACATGTGATACAGTGGGGATCTGTAAAGAAAAGTTGCTCTTTGTATATTAGGGCCTAATATTAAAGACTAAGGAAGGGTAAGTGGATTAATACCCTCCACCGCTGTGCTAGAAAGCATTTAACTGCTTGAATGATAATGTAAGGAAAATAATTATCGTTAGGTTTTGTTGCAAGCCCTGAGGGCAACTCCTGTATCTAGTTCGTCTCTTGCTGCTGATTTTAAAAGTTATGTAATGGACATGGTAATTATTTACAGACCGAATAAAATTACTACATTGATTACAGCCAATTTACTGTGAGGAATGTTTGCTTCCATGGTCAGAAATGCTAAATACCTTATTTTTTTAAGACAAGAACACTAATTATACAGAAGCTGATGACTGGGAATATTTGTGTTGCTACTTCAGGCATTTAACAAACACCTGTCTTGAAATTACTCAGCTGAGAAGAGCACTCTTTATAAACTTGGGGAGCAGGTAGATAATTAAAATCATGTACAACTGAGATTGCTGGGATTCCTTCTTGCATGCGTTTATTTCCATGTTATTGGGTGCAAATAGATGACTTGTGGCACCTGCTAGAGGTTATTCCTGATGCAATTTTTGTATGAAATCCTAGTCTTGTATGTTTCAATTACAGGATGGGCAGGCACATGATCACTTTGCAGGATGCACAGTAACAGAGTCTTTACCCTAAAGCTTTTACATGGGCTGTTTGAGTTCTCAATTTATCTTTCCAAGAGACGAACATTTTTCTTGAAACAAGCAGGATTTCTAAAGTCTTAGCTTCCTTGTCAAGATAATTCTTAAGCAGCAATGCAACCATTTGGGGCATAAACACTTAGAATGAGTAGAATTTCACAAAGGGATGCTAAACATGTTCTTAAGTTCACACACTGCTGCTGGAAAGCTGTTTCACGAGGCTCAAGTGATGATTCAGTTCCCAAAGGTTCCATGAGATTTTTAAATCTCTGACCTGTTCTTGAAAATTGTCTGGTAGCTCCTTATAAACAAAGACACACATAACTGCCTTCCAGAATTATATTAAAGTAGTATATCAGGATCTTCATTTGCCTCTATTTGATGATCTAGATGAATTAAGTTTAAAATTCACAGATTTTTGTATTACATACTTTACTGGCACAAGGATTCTTGAGAGTGTAGTCATACCTCTTTGTGTTTTATTAGAGCTTTTCTTTCTTACGGTCTTATGAGGTTTTTTTATTTAATTAAAAAAAATTAACAAAATGAGATTTCAGTTTTCATCCCATTGATTCCTTGAATTATTTTTTTTTCTTTTTTTTTTTTTTTGTTCTTCTTATCTATTTGAAGTTTTAATACGGTGAATTCTTTCAAAGTGAATATATGTAACCTTTTATTCTAGGAGTGCTTCTAGTCATACTACAGAGAGACAGATGTCCCATGATCTCGTTGCTGCTGGCAGGAAAACTGAAAATTTTCATCCGGTGTTTGAGCACATGGAATCTGTTATACAGAATGTTGAAAATGACCCATCAAGAGAATTTACTCAGGAAATAATCACAATTATCCATCAAGTTAAAGGTGGCTGTCATATTTGGGGTATATGTATGTGTTTGTACATTTGTAATTATTAAAACCAAATCTAATGAATTAGGTATGCTGTCCTTGTAAGTACAGGGTGTTTGATTTCATTTGTATTTTGTCTTCATTCTGTAGTAAGGAAACTATAGGCTGAAGATTTAAAGTAGTTGGGTGGGGAATGATTTTAAGAAGGTCTCAGTCCATAACAGGCGTTACTGTTGAGTGTTAAAGTTGAAAAGATTTTATGCTTATACTTAAGACTAACCTGCTTGGTTAGGAAACAAGAATCATAGGATGGTTTGGGTTGGAAAGAACCTTCAGATCATCTAGTTCCGACCCCCCTGCCATGGGCAGGGATGCCTCACACTAGACCATGTTGCCCAAAGCTCTCTCCAGCCTGGCCTTGGAGACTGCCAGGGATGGAGCATTCACCACTTTGGGCAATCCATTGCAGTGCCTCACCACCCTCACAGGAAAGAACTTCTTCCTTATATCTAACCTGAGCCTCCCCTGTTTTAAGTTTAAACCCATTACCCATTGTCATATCACTACAGTCCCTGATGAAGAATCCCTCTCTGATATCCAGAGAGGAGCTTTGCTGTAGTCACAACTTGCTAGTTTATATATAGTTCCTTTAATTTTTCAAATTAGTGTTTAGACTGCTGCATCATGTTCAGTGTTGAACGTTATTTATAGACTAGTCATTGGAGTACTACTGTGGTAGAGCTGACAAATAGTGAACTTCCTATTGAGCTTAATCTTATTTAATAAGTTGGGATAAGTTGGGCTGGCCTAGTCTTTCATTTGTGAATGTTAAACTGCAAGTGGAAATAGTTTGAATTTTAATTTCAGAAGTTGTTTTGGTGCCCTTAAGAGTTAGTCTTTTAAAAGATACAATTACCCACTGTGCGTTTCAGTTACTACAGATAAACATTCTTGTATTTAATCTCTTCCCAGCAAATTATTTTACATCTCCTGACATAACTCTACATGAACGGTTCTCAAAAATTAAGGATAAGACAACTGAAAATATGAATGAAGTGAAAACACATTTGGATCCAGAAATTCACAGGTGATTGATGTGTTTTTTGCCTTAATTTATTTGCATTAAGGTAGTTAATTTTCAGTAGACTTCAGGCGATATAAAATGTTATAGTGTTTTTTCACTAACTCTAACCTGCTTGCTCGTAGTCTCTAAAAGATTCTGTAGTTGGTTCAGTAAATGCTTTTGCTATTTATAGTGATGGCACTTGGTTTTATGGAATGTTTTTGTGTTACAGGAGGATTGACATGTCTCTAGCAGAACTTCAGAACAAACGAACTGTGCCATCTGAATCTCCCCAGGTATCTTGATTACTTAACCTTTCTGGCAGACAGTAAATTAAAATAATATAAAGCAAGCAAAATCTCCCCTTGCTATTGGTACATTACTTCTACATATTTTGAAGGCCATCAGTAATTCTGACCATTTTGAGAGAAATGCACACTCAAGCATAATGGTGTGGGAATATACTCTCTCCACTGAGTAAAGTGCAGGTGTGTTCTCCAGAGTAGCTGGGGTATGGTTATTCCTGCTGCTTGATCTCCTGTCTTTTTTAAATAATGTGTATTAAGGTACTAAATAGGTGACTGACATGTGGCTTTTACTTTACCTCTGAGGTAACGAAAAGCCTTAATGTTTCTTGTACCCTAATGTTAGGATGGCCCGACGACCACGTAATTCCTCAGAATGCTATTTTATTCCATGCTTTCATCCGGGGATATAAGATTTTCTGTCTTCCCCTTCCAAGCTATGCTTACTGTGGATAGTTACTTTTATTTTGTTGTTGTTCTTCTGTAGTACAGGTATGTGGCAGTTAAACTTAACGAAGTATAATAAGAATAGTAGAACTTTTTAAGATTTACTGGAATTCATGTCAATATTTTTCCCTTGGCAACTCCATGCAGAATTCCAGAGCTCTGTTCACTATTGTTTGGAAAGTTGTAAAAAAGCAGATGGTGCAAGAAAGGATAATTGTTTAGGGCTACTTTTTGTTACTGTTTTGGACTTTGGATCTTTGGGCTGATGTGAACCCATCCTGTGTAACAGTTGAACTATATTAATGAGGTTATATGCAGGATGCAGCCCCTGAAGGACATCACGTCAGAGAAGAGTCAATTCAGTGTTCAGTTACTACTAGCTAACTTGATTTTAACCCTTCCTCTTAACTAGAACATTTTAAGAGTGTTAGAAGATCCAAATGATCTACGGCATGATATAGAAAGGAGAAGAAAAGAGAGGCTGAAGAATGAAGATGAGAGAGTGTTTCATTTAGATGGTGTAACTCCAAGGTAATTGGCAAATGAGTCATCTGGGGCAAGCCTCTAGTTCTTTTACATTCATTTTTTGACCCTGCCAAAGTTACAGTCATATTTGTTGTGATTCTTTTCCATAGTTTGTCCTTGTTAAGTTTTAACTTTGACTGAAAGTCAGCTGACATACATTGCAAACCACTCTGTAATGGAGTGTTACCTTGAAAGAGGTTAAGTTGCAGAGGGGAAAAAAATGGAAAGCAAGCTCAAACTGTAGCACTGAGTAGAAAGAGGGGAAGAAATAAATTTAAAAATGCTTATTTTTTTTTTACATTCCTTGATGTACCATATAACACCATTCTTTTGTTATTCTGTAGTTTCATAAAAGCATTCGAGGATGAATACGTTGTTGAGTTGCTTTGGTTGTTTTGTAATGTCATGTGGAGTATCAACAAAGAATTGGTTTTTTTTTCTGATTCTTGGAGAATTCTGTGAAGGAAAGCTAGATTTCTGGAGTGGCTTTAGTGCTTTGAATTCCTCCAGCAGTTTTGTTAAAGGGGTTTGCCGCAGAAGTGTTTGCTAACCTCAGTCATCCTGTTTGACTTTTGATGCTGTGAGATTGGTTGATTAGAGAGATGACATGACTTGCGTTAGAAGAAATGTTGATTTAAAGAATTGCCAGAGTGTAACAAAATATGTTTACACTGTAGTCATGATTTGCAGATTACTCTTAATGTGCTACTGTTGTTCATTTTAAATGCAGTCTATAATGGCAGATAGTGGCAGTGCACACATTTGGGAAAGCTGACTTGTGAAGCTGCAGAAGAAACAGTTCTTGTACTTGAGATTCTTTTAAACAAACAAAAAAAAAAGTAGAAGTTATTAAGTGTGCCTGGGGGAGCATATTGGACTTTTGCATATAGCTTTTTGTGTACCTGGGGTTATGGCTTTAGTGTATGTTTGGCCTGATTATTTGGAAAGGGTTGGTTGGTTTGTTGTTGTTTTTGCAATCCCCCAGTTACTGTCTTGCTTACCTTTTGCGTGTGCCAGTCAAAGTGAGGAGTGCACGTTTCTCTAGCAAGTGTGGCTGTCCTGGAGCTCAGTGTGAGGAGGGCTTATACTGTCAAAGTAATGTGGGCTGAGGGTGGTAATGGTATGAACAATGAGTACAATTTTCCTGAGATAGGGGTTTTTAGTAGTTCCTGTATGAGATACTGGCAATACCTATGAGCTAGTCCAGTGTGCCTCTTTTTACTTCAGAAATTTATTTTACAGCTATGGAAACTGTTTATATCTCGTGAGCTCTGATTTTTGACAGCTGGTGGTTACTTTTCACGGTATATGGTGGTGGTTTTTTTTTAGAGGTTTACAGGCACTTCTGTAGTAGCTGTGTGCCGAGTTAAAGAATAAAAAACAAGCAAAAGGCCAAAGCCAAGAACACCCTGTTTGCTGAGGATGAAACTGGAGCATGTAGCTGTTTATCTGAGCTTCTGTTGCATTTGGGATTTCAGGAAAAGGAAAGTTCTGTGCAACTTTAAAGATAACAGTATAAAAACTGTAAAGATAACAGTGTATAACTATGTAAGCAATACAGCGCTGCTGACATGCAAGAAGCATTTCAACCAGCAGGGGGCAGCAATGACCAGCCATGCAGGCCTGTTTAAAGTGCGGGAGTTCGGTACACTACGGCTTTTGATGTTGTTTTCTTTCTCTCTCTCTCATATACACATCAGGAACCACGAAAGCTGCAGTCTTTCAAAATTACACAACTCTCAACTTGATGGCTTCCAAAAGCCTGTGAGGTTCATTAAGCCACCTTTCAGAAAATTTATTGGGAAACCTCACCTGGTAAGCCTAAATGTAGAATTCATAGCTTCTGCATTGTTGTTCTTGCATTGATAACGCTTTTTTCTTTTTTTTTCTTTCTGCATTGTCTGTGCTGATGTAAATCTAACCATGTGTATTGTCTTGCCCTTTTAAATTTCAAGTGAGGCTTTATTATTTTCAGACATTGCTAAACAATAAAACTATCATAATTTCAAAGTCCTAATGCAAGAGTGCTTCCTCAGATATTTGTTGAAGCTTAGATTAAGACAAGTGAGCTAAACCCACTTTTATGACCAAATGCTGATACAACATAAGCAATTCTTCTGCTTTTGCACACCTATGCAGTACTCAATAACAACTTTCCTACTGTTTTTTATAACCTAGCAGTGAGTTGGCCAGGAGCTTGTTTCAGAAAGCTAATTTAGACTGGTATGTTGGGTGAAATCAAAACAATTTTTCAGCTAGCCTAAAAATAAGGTGATAACTTTAGATTTCTTATTGAACAGCAGGAACAGGTCAAACTAAACTTTTGAACTAAATTTTATATTCAAAATTACTTACTGAAATTAAGGGGCTTTATGAAGTAAAATTTCATATTGCTTGTAGCTTTGTAAAGAAATTTGTACCTAATACTGTATTTCTTCCACTTAGTGATGTAATTCCTAAACTAGAAAATAGAAGGCCTTGTTACTTGAGTAGATTACATGAGGTAATGTTGAGCAGTTTGAGAAAAAGAATACTCTTCTGCATTCTAGTTGTCGGAGGTTGGAAGGGAAGCTCTGAATCTTGTGTAGGTGGCATTGTCACTAGAACAGTGTTTCTCCTCATTATGATAAGTGTTCTGGAAAGCTCTTCAAAAACAAATAAAAATGAGTAACAGCACAGAAAAAAGTTGAAATGTCTGAAATAATGTTCCTAATTCACTCCATTGTGTAACATTCTGTCCTTATCTGTGGTGATATTGTGTCTATCAAAACTAGTTTAGGCACTTATTCTGAGACTATCTTTCCGTAATGTACTTCAACCGTCTTGCCAATTTCAGTATTATACTACGTCCAGGAGAAATAAATTCGTTTCTTGGAAAACTCCTTTTAAGTAAATGTAGTCATCTTTCCAAGAGCTTGTGCTTTTTTAACCTGGGGAACTGGGGAGATGAGAGAGCTTTATTAATGTGTGCAGTATAATTCTAAAACTTTTTTTTTTCCTTGTTTTCCTCCTGGTGAATGTAAAATAAGGAACAGACTAACATAAATTGTAATTGTTTATAGTTTGTAATTCTCTATAGACAAAGTTCTGACAATCACTGAAAAGTAGCTGCCATGCAGATAAAATGGTGCATCTTCTGATGTAAAGGTAAAAATTTAATGGTAAAAATTACTTAAGATTAAGAGTGAAGTCCCCAAAACCAAGCAGTAGTTGCTTATTAAGTAACTGTATTAGGTCTGGCTGAGATGGAGTTAATTTTCCCCATAGCAGCCCTTGTAGAGCTCAGCTTTGTATTGGTGGTGGTAACACACCAGTGTTTTATCTGCTGCTGGGCAGCACTCCACAGCATCATTGCTGTCTCTCCAGCATTCCCTCTCATCAGTAGGCTGAGCAAGATCTTGAGACACAGCCAGGACAGCTAACCCCAGCTGACCAAAGAGATATTATATACTATATGACATGTTCTCGGCAATAATAGCTGAGGTAAAGGAGGAAGGGCAGGGGGACGACATTCACTGTTAAGACATTTGTCTTCTGGAGTAACTGCTATGTGTGTTGAAGCCATGCTTCCTAGGAAGTAGCTGGACATTGCCTGCTGATGGGGAAGTAAAGAATAAATCTTTGTTTTCCTTTGCTTCTGTGTGCAGCCTTTGCTTTTGCTTTATTAAGTTGCCTTTGTCTTGACCAATGAGGTTTGGTTTTTTTTAAATCTTTCTTCTTACCTCCCTCCCCCATCCTGCTGAGGAGGAGAGTGATAGAGCAGCTTGGTGGCCATGTGGCATCCAGCCAGGGTCAACCCAGCACAGTAATGTGGTAATTGCAAATAAAATGGGGGTTAGTTTGAAATAGAAATTGAGTTATTGTTAGATTCCGGAAGATTGCATTTTAATATCTAAGAGTGAACTGCAAACATGCAGTGTTTTGAAAGTCCTGCACTGCATTGAGAAGTAATATGTTCAGAACAACAGTAGCTATGAAAGCATGGGTTTTACAAATGCAAAGCATTGTAAGACTCATTCCTAAAGAAAGAGTGAGTCTTCATGAAGTCAGCCATGCAGAAGCTGGTTTGCAGATAAGTGGGAAGATACAGTGCTTTAGTTGCAATCCACATTTGTCAGTACAAATAACATTAATCAGTGCTTCCCAACTGGCTCAGAGGGCTTACAGCCTTTTTTTCAAATGTGTCCACAATACATTAACTTGCTCTTCTTAATTGCACCTACTCTTCTATTTTTTTTTTCTATTTCTGGTCTTGCCTTTTGATTATTCTGCTTCCTCTGTTAGTTTTTCTGTTTATCTAGAATGTCTAATGCTCAATATGTAAAGTAATGCAAAAGGGGTAATCTTTACCTAGTCAGAGCAGATCACTAATAACTAACTAGTATCAGAGGCAGTAGAAATAATTCAGCTGAGTAAGCTAACTCCAGTAGTGTTGCACTTGCTGTGGCCTGTAGATCTGTTGTGTGGGAATACATGGTCCTCAAAATGGCTTTTCTTGAAGGAGTTCTTCAGGACTGGATACAATTGGAGAAAAGCTTAACCTGGTGGGGAATAGCTCAAGCTTGATCTCCATATATGTAAGCTGCTAGCACTGCTTTAGTATTTGTTGTGGGAGTTGAGTGGAGTAACATCCAAGCAGCCAACTGTAGTTTCAGCCACATGTATCATTTTCTGTGTTGAGTAGGCTTTCAAATAAATTCAGAGCTGTGGGACTGTATCCACTACTATTTTGTTTGGAAATGTAATATTAGTAGAGTTGAAAGCAGCCTTAGGAGGGGAAAAAAAAAAAAAAGATTTTTTGTAAAGGGCTGCTTTCTGCAAGAGGACAAATACTTGGAATTTACATTCAAATTCTTGTATCAGAATAGTACAGTTCAGGTGTGATCACGGCTGAGCAACTTGAAAACTGTAAGGACCATGACTAAAAGACAGTGTTTGGAGAACAGTGCAGTGGATTTAAGATAAGGTTTGATGGCTTACCAGAATATCGATGCTGGGTCAACCACATCTTTTTCCATAGGAAACATCCTAAAATATATATGTTATTTGAGCACAGCAATACATGGAAAAACTGGGGAAGAGTTTGAAATGTAAGCAAGAACTAAGAATACTTGTTGAGTAAGAAAGTCAGTTTCGTGGTTTTGCTCAGTGTTAAAGATTCTTGGGTAGATACTGGTTCAGTTGGTTCCACGATCCAAGCAGAGCTTGTGGGAAGCTGTTTTATTCTGCAGGCGGCTAGCAATAGTACATTGTATTGACAAAATTGTAAAGATGTGGGAAAACACATGAAAAAGTATGCAGTAGACATCTTTTAACACTTTTAGATGTGAAACTCCATAAACACTTTTAAAAGCAAACCCTGCAAAATCCAAAACAAAACCTCTGATCGTCAACACTCCTTTCAGGTTTATTTGCTCTTGTTTACGGGTAAATATTGAGTGAAAAGTATGCCAGAGAGCCAGGTTTCAGATGAGAAGCATAACAGTGCCAAGGCTCAGAAAATATGGCAATAATAATAATAATAATAATAGTATCTGACAGGAAATCCACTGCAGCACCTTAATTTGTAGCGCAGGATTTAAAAAGAGAAGTAATTTGTTGGGTAAATACTTGCAGATTTTTGTCTCTGTTAGTGAAATTTCTTCGTGGCTTTTATTACTGCTTGAGGAGCTGTGTGTATCAGCATTGGTAAAAGATGGATGCTCAAACTCAAAGTCAGATTAATAGATCATATCTGATGCAAGGATGTTGCCTAATGTGCAAGCAGGTAATATACTGGTCATATTAAAATGTCCTTACAGTGAACTATCAAAATGTGGTATTAACGCAACTTTTTTCTCTTGTTAACAGGTTATTGATTATTAGGGTTAAAATTAAACGCAGAAATGGTGTTGACTTGGTTTGCCTGTTTCTTGGTATGCCACAATTAACCAATATGAAGTTTTTAGTACAAGCTATGAGCACCTTTTACAACATGCCAGTGAAGGGGAGTGATTCTGGTGTTAGTATTCAATAATTAGGGTTTCAGCTTAAACTTGAGAACTTGAGGTGCAAATGCCTATCCAGCCTTGATTGAAAGAAATGTCCATCTAGCCTTGCACCCTATTGACAGAAAGGATAGCTAAAGAGTAGAGACCTAGGATAAATATCTCCTATTCCCCATATGTTTATTTTACTTAAAGCTTCAGGTTAAGGAAATTCCTGAAAAGTAGATTGCTGTATCTTGGCATCAAGTATTTATAATGTTTTTGTTTCCATGAATATATTTGAATCTTGAGGAAGGTGGGGATGGGGAGGGGTGTATCCACTGTTAGTTAAGATGAGCTTTGTTTTAATTCCCAAAAGTTTATTTTTTCCTATAACAGGAAATTTTGTTTATTTTTTTTTCATCTTGCTGGATTCTCAGCTTTAAGGAGGAGTGTACTTCAACAGGGAGCTTCCTGATTTAATTATGTGTTATATGGAGAAAATTAATTTGATTTTATGGAGTATCTTTATACTGTTAGGAACTCCCAGCTCCCTGCTTATTCTAACATGCTTTTGCCTCTGTGTATATTTGATACTTTTTTTTCTTGGAAAAGCCATTTTCACTGCTTTGATCTGGCTTTATAAAGGCTTTCTTCCTCTCTTTTTTTTTCTCCGCTGAATGCCCTCTTGCCAAGGCATTTTAAGAAGCTAAATAGCTGACCTGTAGGCAATAATATATTTAAAAAAAAAAAAGGGCAAATTAACTTAAATCCCATTAACTTGGGTTCTGACACTTCTGTTACATTTATAGCTCCCCCCCCTCCAGTTAGTAAGAGTAGCAAATCCTAAAGTGTTTTGTGCCACTGAATAAAAAAAAAAAGAGTTCAGCAGCATTGGAACACTTCTGTGATTATTCAGGAATGGGCCAGAAACAATAAAAAATAATTTTATGGCTGAGAGTTTGGTAGCAAGGCCATTCTGTCTGCATTAGATAATTTAATGTCTATATTTCAGTATTTATTGCTTGTGTAAATATTTATAATCATATATGATGATGGAGGATGGTATTTCAGCTGTGTGCATCCTCCAGAGGTAGCTGTCATGGGAAAAGCTGGAAAAGGGCCAAAATATGCAGGTTGGACAGTGGCTGGAGGAGTGCTCTATTTTAGGCAGCCATGACTGTCTGCAGCTGTTCAGCGTGTTGACACACAACAGTTTCCTCCTCTGTACAACTTGCTTTTGAAATTGTGTGTGTTTCTGTGGCATGCAAGTAATCTTCATATGCTCTCCTGTAATACAGAGTTAAAAGTAGAATCTTCTAAGGACCAATATAATGTGTTACACATTCATTATCTGGTTGCTGCAGTGGTGTGTATAGTATAACAGTGCATGTGTCTGCTCTAAATATGCTAACCGATGGTGACTAGGTGTTAACCAGGGATGTCCAGAGTACTGATCTTGTTGCCCTTATTCCTGACTATTACAACAGCCTTTCTGCCTCGCTTGCTGCGTGCAAATTGAGGCATCTGTTCGGGAGGGAGACACACAGGGGAAGAGAACCTTAACTGAGTTGTTACCTTCTTAGATCTCTCCAAGAGGATGATATTGCAGTAGGATGGTCTGTCCTGTCTTTGGCTTCTGTAGGCTCTGCCACTGCTTCAGCCAGCCTGGACTCCAGGCTCTTGTTAATCTGGTTCCTTCAAAGGAAGGAAGAAAGCCTTCTAACAAGGCTCTTGTTATTCTGGTTCCTTCAAAGGATGTCATTGTGTCAAATGCTACAAGGTTGAAAGAGATACAGTATTTGTTATTGTAACCTGTAAATTTTGTGTGTTTTCTTGAATAATTTAGTTAACATTAAGCTAATAACTCTGTTTTCCTATTAGAATTCTTACTATTCTTCAAAACCAACTGATACTTACCCTCACAGACGCATTAGAGGACACCTTGAAAACACAGGACCCTTCAGAAGGCACTTTAAGGTACAGATCAGCTTTTATCAGATGTAGGTTATGTAAATGGTGATTTGATCCTGTTGAGTTCGGTAGCAGGAGACACATTTTTGAAGGTATTAAATGCCATGAAAAATAGTGGTTGACTTAGCTTTTAGTAGGTAAGAGGGCTGGCAGTGGATTGAGCAGGGTTGTCCAGTATTGTATCCATGCAGTTGAAATAAATAAGTTTACTGCAGAGCTGAGAATGAGAACGGCAGAAATTGGACAATGGCTACAAAGCCCATGTATCCAAAAGACTAAGCTGGTCAGCTCTCCGGTTTTTACCTGATGTGTGTTCATAAGCTTGAACTGTTTCCCTAGACCAGGTTATATTGCTTTCTAAACTGTACTACTTTTATTAACCCTTTCATATAGGGATTTTTGAGGTGCTAATCTTTTGGGTATACCCTGTGTACTGCTATCTTGTGCATTTAAAAAAATTCAAAACTGTGAAGCTTTGACCTCAGGGCCTCAAGGTGGTAAGGAGTGGCCAATTGTTCTTCTTCCTGGGGTAGTGCAGTGGCTTTCTAATGCCTTTTGGTTGTAAAATGTATCATAGATTCAACAGAAAAAACAAAAACCACTCTTCTGCTGACAGTGGCATGCTATGAATGGATCCAGTTAGAGCGATTTGTATTAGAAAAGTCCTAGTCGAATCTAGAACAGCTCGCACTCATTTTGTACCATAAAATTACCTCTACTTATTTAACAGGTGTGTTCTGAAGAGTAAAATAATACAAAGAATAGGTAGTCATCTTTCCTATTTTGTAGATAGTGAAGTTAAGTAAAGCTTCGATGGCTAAGTTAAGGCATTTTGGATGAAGCTTTGAAAAAGGGAGCAGTGTAGGTGTGGGTGTTTTGCTGTAACTTTCTGGTTTTTGTTTCTCCCCCCCCCCTCAGACTAAACCTAAGAACTGTTGGATAAAAGGCTTTCAGGTACTCCTATTTAAATATGCTTTGCCAGTCAGTCTTAGTCAGATCACTAAGCTACCACTATCAGAAAATGCTAACTTTATTCTGCTAAAAAAAAAAAAAAAAAGTCTTTTTCCAAGCTGAAGTTACCAGTTTAAAGTGTCAGCCTGATAGAGCTGTTTTAACTATAGGGACATCATATAGCCTTTCAGTCATTATCCCCTCTGTATTGTCTGCCTATGGGGGATCTTTAGCACTGGCTGCCATATCGTTTGAGGCAGTATTGGTAGTTGATGTAATACAAAGGAAATGGAAGGCTGCCTTCATTTATATCAGCCTACAGTTTTCATGTAGATTATGCAACCATACAAGTGTCTGCTTAAATTGTTATACGTATATATGTATGCATACTGCCTGAATATTGCGGTATGCAATAATCTGTCCCATGGTGTTTTAATATTTGTGGGGAAAATAGCATGTGCACTCACATTGCAGTTTGCATATGTGTGTAGCACAATTATCATTACTATGGAAACAGCAGTGCTGATTTGATTTCATCAAGTTTTTTTTTGTTTGTTTTTTTTTTAATGTTCAATTTCCTCCTGAGTAACAGGGGTTTTCCTTCCCATGCTGTTGCTGAACCCTACTTAGTAAGGTGATTTTACTATCTTCTACATTCAGGAGACTTTCTTTGCTGATTATTTAAAACAAACATACAAAAAAAGCAAGAACCCATCGAGCTCTTCCCCCACCCCTCCCAGTGCCATTCCCTGCATCCTCTTTTCCCTCTCAGCCCCCTCACCCCAAGAAAAACACCAAACCATACCATATTTCTGCATGGTATGTAAAATAGGAGCATTTTAACTTAAGAAGTAAAACAGGGGGTTTACTAATCACAGAATGGCTTAGGTTTGAAGGGACCTCAAAGATCATCTAGTTCCAACCCTCCTGGCTGTTGGCAGGGATACCTTCCACTAGGCCAGGTTGCTTGAAAGCCTCATCTGGCCTTTAACACTTCAAGAAACCAAAACACAAACCAAACAAAAAAGGACCTATATTGTCTTTCAGTAGGTTAACTTTGTTATCTTTATGTTAAAGCTGCTTGTTCACTCTCCCCTCAGCTAGTGTGTTACCAGTGCTGTTTGAGTCACAAATGTAAAATACAGCACCATGTGGGCTGCTGGGAAGAAAATTAACTCCATCCCAGTCAGACCCAGTGCAAGGACATCTATTTGCTCATATAGACTTATTTCAGAACTTGAGGCCATTGTTTCATAGGTATTGTCATTTGCATTATTTATAAAATAGTCTTCATGTAAAACTAGATGTGGCTTTAGCAGACTTTTTCTGACTTTCAGACCAGAAGTTAATGATGTTTTCCACACACTTTAGATTACTTCATTTTTCTTTAAGTGATATGTGTCTACATGTCAAATTAGTGTCAACTTTCTCTGTAGCTGGTTCTGTTGTACATTAATAATACTGCCATTCTCCTCCTTCCCCACTTAGGGAACATGTAGATACTGGAGTTGAAACTTTTAAACTGTGTATAATCTCATCCTTTAGAAGATGAATGTATACATGAATGCTTTATGTCAGGACCACACTGGAAAACAGCAGTACTGGAAAGCTATGATAAATTATGATAAACAGAGTAACAGCAGGGGGGGTTGGAACTAGATGATCTTTAAGGTTGCTTCCAACCCAAGCCATTCTGTGATTCTCTAATTCTTACTCTAAAGATTTTTGCTGCCTATTTTGTTGGATGTCTGAGTACTTAGGAATGAAAACTTCAACTGCTTTGGTGTTGATCTTACTGTGTATTTATAATGCTGTTCTGTGGCTTCTGCTCCTGGTCCCGCACTGGGTTTGTTACAGTATTCCAGTCTGGAGCTAACTAAAGCATAGAGCAATGAACCTATGTTCACATTGTAAGATCTTAAAGCTATAGGAAAAGTATATAAACTTGACTGCTGTTTAGTATGACTGTTTTTAGACTCAACATGCAGGCCTGACATCATTGAATTTGTTAGCAGTAGTGATGTGTTGTCTTAATCTTTTTTGTCAATGCAGCTTTACTTTCATTAAAGTTTAAAAAAAGTGTTAAAATGTTCTACAATACATTTAGTTTGTTTTTTTTTTAATGAGGAATATAATTTCAGATGTTTTAAACAGTAAGTACATTACAGCAGTTCTTTGAGACACATGGTAGCTAGTGGTCTGAGGAATATGAAATGAAAATAAAGGAAGAGGCTCTGTACTTGCAAATACGTACTTCCATTGTTCAGTACTGTAAGTTTTGCGTGTGTATAACTGTAAATACAAACTATTGAGTTTTGGTGCCCTCATTTTTCATGTTTTTCTTTCCTCCCTTCCCCCACCCTTACAGAGCAACTTTGCAGATGGCCGTTTGCAATCCCATTATAAATCAGGCTTAGTACAGAAGGGTTTATATATTCAGGCTAAGTACCAGCGGTTACGTTCTGTTGGTGTAAGGGGATTTACCACTAATAAATTCAGAGATGGATTTTTGAGGAAAGAAAAGGTAAGTTGGCTTAATTTATTTTTCACTAAGCCAATTATAAAATGCGAATATTCATAATATCCATTCCAATATTTAAATCCCCATGGAATAACTTGGATGGGATTTTCTGGAATATTGGCTCTTGTACTTTGCAGGCTAACTTGATTCTGCCTTCCTGTCTCCTCCATGTTTATTCCATGGAAATCTGCTGAAACTGGTAACTGCAAATCAGAGATGGCCTCTGAGATTCTGCACTTGCCTCTGTTTCTGTATTCTGTACTTGAGCTCAGTTGATCTCTCTTCCTATTGATAGGAAGAGAAAGTAGCCCTCTATGTAAAAATATTATGTCTTCTTAGGCTACAGTTTTAAATCAATGTGAAGGGTATTAATATTTTTTTTACTATGTCTGTGTGCTTTTCCTCTTTATGTTACCTTAAATGAATCATGTGCTTTAAAGTACACAGTGCAGTACTGTTCTGAATAAAGCATCCTACATTATAAAATGTGTAAAATTCAGCTGCAGCTGAAATAGGCACATCTGGTTTATGATACTCTGATTTGCAGTGCGTGTGGGACAACAATAATCTTGAACTACAGAGGAACTTCTGAATGCTATGAAATGTTACAGCTTTTGTGATGATCAGTAATTAAAACATTATAAATCCTTGATTAGAATTGACCAAGTATGATCAAAGTAGTATGAGGGTGTTTGTGACATCAGAGAATTGGATTACATGACCTAACTAGCCCCCTGCAGTTCCTGTGTGAATTCTTGTTTGTTTTGCAATTCTGTGTCAATCTATCTGCAAGTAAATACACTTGCATAAGCATTTGTAGTTGGATTAGAGTTCAGCTCTTAGAGCTGTTTTCAAAAAAATCTTAAGTTTACAGTCCCGTGGCGGGGGAGGGAAAAAAAGCAAAACACCAATAACCCAGGCAAGCAAGGGAAAAGAAAAAGGGGGCAGATAGAAAACCAAATGCTTTGGTCAAGGTAAACAGGTCACTTGTTACAAAAGTATACTGGCAAATGCCTTTACATTTGTGGGGACTCTCAGAGCTGTGATCTCCGAAGGCTAAACTGAATTGGAATTAATGGAAAATAAATGAAGAAGGATTTTTTCAGAAAATTATGACCTTGTAAAATGGGCATAGAAGTGCCATGACTTTGTTGTAGTGAGTTTTTCCCCAATAATTTCCAATGTTCTTCTATAATTGGATATTAAGGTTCTTGTCTGGAACCAATAAAGCATGCTTAACACAATCTGGCTGGTGGAGATTATGATTTGAATTAGAGAAGCATAGTAAGATCTCAGTATTGATTTTTAGGCTTGATTAAGAACTTGAGTGTCTTTTAGCTAAAGTAAAATAAATCCTAAAGAATAACAATCGTTTTCTTAACAGCATACTGATCCTGATTGGCCAAGTCTCAAAAAACCACCAAACTTAAAAAAACAAAACCACTTTTTCTCAGATTCTAGCATTTGCTGTATTTTGTCAATTGTAGAGTACTGCATCCAGCTCTGGAGTCCTCAGTACAGGAAAGACATGGACCTTTTGAAGAGGGTCTACAGGAGGACCACAAAAATGATCAGAGCGATGGAGCACCTTTCCTATGAGGAAAGGCTGAGAGAGTTGGGGTTGTTCATCCTGGAGAAGAGTCTTGGGAGGCTTTATTGTGGCCTTTCAGTTCTTAAAAGGGGCCTACAAGAAAGATGGGAACAGGCTTTTTAGCAGGGCTTGTTGCGATAGGATGAGGGTTTTAAACTAGAAGAGGGGAGATTCAAGCTGAATGCGAGGAAGAAAATTTTTACAGTGAGGGTGGTAAAATACTGGCACAGGTTGCCCAGAGAGGTGGTGGATGTGCCACCCCTGGGGACATTCAAGGCCAGGCTGGATGTGGTTCTGAACAACCTGATCTAGTTGAAGATGTCCCGGCCCACGGCAGGGGGGTTGGACTAGATGACCTTTGAAAGTCCTTTCCAACCCAAACTATTCTGTGATTTTGTAACGATTAAAATTGTCCTTGAGATTTGATAAACTAGTCTGAACATCTTTATTTCACCCTTTTGAAATAATTATGCATATACCTCCTTTAAGGCACAGTCTTTACAGTTACACTGTTTCAATCCATAACTGAAAGAATCTTTTATGTTCCATACTATAATAATATAGTACTTACGAAAGTTGGGAAGTTTTTTCCACTGTTACAGCTTGACAGTAATGTGTTGTTTCTTCTTTTCTTTCTGTAGGGAAATTTAAATATTGCAACAGAAACCTGAACTGAGCTGTGATCCTGAAGTTGAAACCAACAACACAGCAAAGGGAGCATCTGTTCATTTTTTGACAGTGTTGTCAAGACTTAAAATAGGATAAAGGAACTAACCCTATAACTTTCTTGATTAAAAATAACTTTATTTTTCAGTAGTGGAATGCTGCAGAACTTTTTTACAGTTTTAATAATTGCTTTTAAACTACAGTATTCAACTGAAACACAGTAGTATGTACCTTTAGTTCCTTTTGCATACCAGTGTCAAGTAAAGAAGTCATCAGAGGGAGTCTTACTTATTGAATACTTTTTCTCTAAGCATGATGTTACAGATGGAACTTGAGTTGTTATACCCAGAGGTTTCTATGTTGAAAGTTTCTTGCTTACGTAATAAAAAAAAGGAAGGAAAAAAAAAGTGCCTGAATTGTTTGGTAATAGCACATTAGCTCAGGATTTTCCAAGTAATGACCTTTTAGGTTGTGCAATAGATTTTACACCTTTGTTTAGCATTGCTGTGAACCAGTATTTTGTATTACTTTAGTTTAATAATATACTTGGGTTTCTGATGTGTATATACATTTGTAAATTGTTAGAATGTTGGGACAACTTTCAGTATTTGATTAAAATGAATGGTAACAGGCAGGTGTGTAATGTACTGTAGCAGTAGCTTATAACTGCACTGAAAGCATGCTTAGGGTTGTTAGAGGATTAGTTGGTCTGTATTCAAAATTATTGTCTCATTATCTTTTGGGGTATGACGTTCTTGACCAAGCCACATGTTCTCTGATCTTTTTTGTCATAAATGATTTGATGGTTTCCTGGATTCTGAAATTGAGGCCTGAAGTATTTAATTACAAGAAAAACAAAAACTGTAAGTTTTTCTAAGCATGTCTTCTAAGAAAGCTGTTCATAACTGAAACTGCTTTAAATGCAGATAGCTTATCATTTTGCTCAAAATCCCAGTAATTCTCTGAAGTTTACTGTACTGCAATATTGCTGTGCTGTGTGCGAAACTCAAATAGATGGACATGTTTTATAAGCAGCTATAAACAATATTGTGCTTATTTCCTGTTTATAGCCTTTGCCTTAATATGTAATATATGATAGGGTTGTGTGTATGTATTACAGGTTTGTTCAGACTTTTCATTACCAGTAAATTAAAGATGCAAAGCAAGTAGTTTTTAGAGATGTTCTTATTTAAGAAAAAAGCTATTCACCATATCCACAATATATACAGGCTTATGTGTTTTCATAATTTCCAAGGCAGTGTTAGCTATTCTAGAATGCAGGCTAGTCTCAGTTGTGGATAGTAGGTTGGAATTCTGATACTGGGTAGAAGTATGTTCAGAGAAAATGAAATCTGGATTTTGGGTAGAAAGCCAGGCTGTGATTTCTGCATGCCTTTTTGTAATTTTTTTGCCACAATGCCCTCAGCAGAGAGGCTATTTGGAAGTGTAGGCATGGCTTGGATGAGTTAAAATAGCGTCATGTAAATTCTTCAGTTCATGGGGTTTACTGCTTAGTATTCATAGGGAGCAAGCAGGTAGGAAGTGTGCCACTTTCACTGATGTTGTGGTCATTCAGCAATAATACTGGATATTGGTTTCTAAACCCCAAATTTTCAGTTTAAATAACAATGATTCAGCTAGTTTTTCAGTAACTTTGACACACATACACAAGATGGGAAGCTAACTGAAAGGAATTCATTGGTCAAACTGATGCAGGAAAATTTCCACAGATGATAAAATATTTATGCTGTCAGTGATAAATTGGGCAAAAACATCTTGGGTAGATTTACAGGGAGAGAAAAATAAGGAATTGAAACAAGGTTTAAGTGAGTCAACCCAAAGCCAATGTGGAGTAGCTGCAGCTGAGCAGCCTGTTGGCAGGGGAGTGCTGCAGGTAGTCTGCAGATGAGGGCAGTTTGCTGTCAAGCTATTCCCGCTGCTCCTGAATGTGCTAAAGCACTGTCAAACATGTAAAAAGTGAAACCATGTATGATATAGGATGAACTACTGAATCTATATTGTCTTACTCAACAGGATACTACTGTTTCTGTAAGCTTCCTGCAGTGTTCTTATTAAAGCCTGGAAGAGAACTCGTGATTGAGCAAATGGAAAAGTGGATACATGAAGAAACTTCTGACATGGCAGTTTTGCTAAAATTGTTTAGAAGTAATGCTGAAATAGTCAGACTTTAGTCAATTAATGCTGCTTTAACCAGGTTTAAAAGTGTGACTGGCTCCTCTGATTTTGTGCTCTTATTTTACTTGTGCATGACTGGGTATCTCTAATTTGTTTTGTATTTGAACAAATAGCTTTGTTTTGTATTTCTACAACCGTGAGCAACATATTACAAGCAGGGTTTGTTGGCATGTTACTGACCTTGACTTGTCCCCCTACTCCTTGCCCACCCTCGGTCACAAGATGAATGTCATATGATAAAATGTAGTAACTGTTTCAGTTGTTTTAGCTTTTATTTAATATGATGCCATTTGCTCAAATCACATTATTTACTGATAGCTTTACTTTGCTAATTTGGGATTCTGATAAAACTTCCTATATTTTATAAAAATCGTACAAAGGTTGAATTCTGTGACTGGTTTAGGTGTTAGAGGCATCAACTCTATCTGGTATGAGACATTGCTATGTTGATTTATCTTTGTGAATTGGAGACTTGTGTCTATATACTCACACAAATCGGCTTGCGTATTCTTTTAAGTACAGAAAAGTTCTGTTGTACTGGAATACGTTTGTTTGAGAGCAGTGTATTGAAGTTACTGATTGGGTTTTGAACACGCAAGAAAAGGTGTTAAGTAGAAGAAAGGTCAATTTACTTGAATAACTTGGTGCCTTTCTGTATTGTGACTGCATTGTAGAAAACACCTGTACAAAGACTCAAGTAATATCCTGGTTATCACATTGTTTCTAATGGGAGCATGGACTGGTACTGGAATAACTACTTACTTAAATATGCGTGTAAGCCTCAGAAGGAAAACAGCGTTGCTTGTATTAGTAAAGTCTGCCACTGTATTTGCATTGGAAGGGCAACTTAAAAATGTGATTGTCTAAGAGCTTTCTAGCTTTGTTTTATGCTTTGAAAATATAAATATGAATTGCGTTTTGGTTGACTTGAAATGGCTGTTAAATGCTCATGTCACTCAATTGTTCATGTGAAATGTTTTTCTAATTGCTATCCAAAATGCAGTGGGTTTAATGACTAGAGTCTTCCTTGTGTCTGAAATAGTAAGTTGTGATGTTAGCATTTACATTGATGATCCATTTAATCTCTACATAGGTTTGTTAGAATCCTCATTTTAAACTTTGTGATGATGTGAGTTCACAAGGTTTAAAAAATTCTGGGGCTAGTAAGAAGCAACACATTGCAAGGCTTCTACAAGCCTGCCTTAACTCTAGTAATTGTTTTCATGCTTCACCTTACCTGATGAATATAGTTGGTCTTGAGACCTGGATAGAACTGTCTCAACTCAGGTAACTGATAGCAGAGGATGCGAGTAAATTCAGCTGATCACCAATTGTGCTAGTGGTTTACTTGCTGCCTTCTCTCCCAGGGCCTCAGAGTGAAATGCTGAATTTTCTTTGTATGAACTTAGTTGCTTTAAAAATAAAACAAAAACCAAGATGACACTTTAGTGGCATTATAAAAGGTGGGGTTCTCAAAACTCAGAAAGTCATTTTCTGCCATGTCTTGGAAATGGATAGTGAGAGTTGCTTGGAGGAGAAGATTAAAGATTATTGCAAAGAGAGAGTTGATTTCTCAGTGTTCACCTTAGAGACTGTATATAGAGGGAGTTCTTTAACTTCCGTGCTTTCCAAAGGGATCTTTTCCTATGCTGTGTAGAAACATGCCTCTTGCCTTTAAGCATTTGAACAGCCACCTGCAAAGTTTTCTACAGGAGAGCTCTCTAGAAGAAAGACTTTAGACTGGCATCTGAATGAACCTGGGGGTGAAGGAATGTTTATGCACATTATTCTGGCCCTTGACAGACTTCCATTGCTGCAGGATTTGAAGATAGAGGTTCTTCAGCCTATTTAGGAAGGAAAAAAAAAAGGCAAAAAAAGCCATTTCAAGATCATCAAAAGCCTACTTGTAACACTTGACTCCTTAATAGACCTTAACAATAGTGATGAACTTTTAAAGAGTGTTCTTTAAACTAAATGTTCTTTAAGCTAAATTTTCAGTGTCTAGAGCAGAGAAAAGCGCTGTTGTAACACCTGCCCTTTCCTTCCCTGCTTGATGGGTTTTGCTGTTGGGAGGGTTTTGAGTGGGTATTTAGCCACATGGCTTAATAGCTCTATGCTGCTTGCCACTTGAATACAGTTTTCTTCTGTTCACTGTTCATTGAATTTTGTGCAAGCAGTCTAAATCTCATGTTGTCTTTTAATATTTCATTTTCTGTAAATGTGGTAGATGGCTTTCATTTCTTGATTGGCTTCTTATTGTTGAGGGAAGAGACAGGGTGGAACCAGTTGTTTTGAGTATGCTCTTCATGAAATAAAAAAGCTTCATTATTTTGTTAAGAGTAGTAGGATTTTTTCCCCCCAGTTGAATGAGGATGTGGACTGATGTCCACTTGTAAGGAATATATTAGTGTTGATGTTATTTATACTGTAGTTTCACAAGGACCTTCTAATGTGTGTATGTGCACATGTGTACACATACAAACACAGTACTGGAAACCTTTAATGTAATTATTTCTAAGTGTGGATAAGAAATGACATTTTTAAATTACTGAAGATGGAGTTAAATGCAAATGCATTTTAAGTCTGTAGTCTTTGGCGTCTACAACGGTGCTTTTGACAATGTTATTCCATATCTAAAATCCTCATTCATAAGTATATATTAAGATGTAGGTATGTTTATATGTATGTTTAACATAGTTTATATAAAATCAATGTAAATCTTGTTTCTACAGACAATAAATGTTTTCACAGAATTTTTACTTCAGTGATTTGATTCAGTAGTTATTAATGTTTGGTGTAACTTTCAAGAGTATTTTACTTGATCTGTGTAGCCACTGAATTTTTTTTTAGTATAACTTATGCTTATATAACTTATTGAAGTATTGATCCACATTTTAAGCATGCCTCTTTTTGGCTAAAAGAAGCTGCTTTTCTAAAGACACAAAAATACGATTCTCCCCTCATTACTAGCACAGAATAGATGCTGTATAACAAAATCTGTGAAGGTGAGTATGTCTTATATCCTCCATGGCATTCAAAATCCTTATCTCTGCTGAATTCTGATTCTTGCCCTGTACAGGAGCGGGATGGGGAAAGGTGCACACTTGCTTGGCTAACTTTGATAGTGTGTACATTCAATAAACCAGTACGCATTTTTAAGAGGTCCATTAATACTGTATCATCAGTACGAGGTGAAAACAACAGTGTTAGTACTAAGAACTCCTAATAGAGTGGAGGGAGAATAAGGTGAAGCTAGAAGAGTAATACACTTGTATTTTAATTAAAGGAAAAGAGTTAAATTTCCCCATTATTTACTTAAACTTGCATAATCCAAATCTGTCTTGATCTTCACTTTATGTAATTTTTTTTTTTCTTTATATAATTCTCTTAACCTGGTTATTATCCTTGAGCTAGGTAGTACAGCAAAACTCCTTCATGTGTGGTAAATCTACTGTGATGTAGAGTAGCTACAGGGAGAGGCATTGTTACTTCTTTCCTCTCAGGAAAAAAAAAGTTAAAATACTTGGGGGGATATTAATAATCGTGCTTCCCAACTATTATACTGTAGTCTTAAGAAGTGATGTAGCCGATCATGTTCTGAAGTGCATGTCACTTGAGAATGAAGTTGCTAATTTGCATTGATACCCCATTAAAACCATCTCTTTAGCTTCTCTGAGCAATTTCTTAACAGGTAAAGAGAAGTTTCTTTTCTAAATGCCATCATGATGTGTATTAATTCAACACTTCCCCCCCCCCCCCCCCCCAGCTTGGTGATGTTAGTTTGAAGCCCCAGCTGAGGGGTAGGCTCTGCATGAACACAAGATCAGTCCTACAGATATTCTTTGGCTTACGAACAATGGTAAGCTAAGTCTTGGGAGGTATTACAACAGTGCTTCCCCCCAGGTTACAATAAGGTTTTTCCACTTTCTGGGAAAGACAACCTGCTGTACTGTGTTACTGCGTAACTTGAGAAAGCAAGGAACTTCTCATACGTGAATTTTTAGTGATAGTTGAAATTGGGAATCTGTTTGAAATAACCATCAAATTGGCTTTTTCCTGGGTATTGTGTAAGATTACTTTGTGTTACTCCTTATCGGTTTTACTACCAGCCTTGAAGAGTCCTTACAGAAATAGTGCTACTGGTATGTACCAGGCTAACTTATTCAGTTATACCACTTACTCCATCTTAAGCTGTGAAACTGGAGCCCTGGAGAGCCAAACTTCATCTAAAATTACCATACTAACAGCAGAAATATCTTCTTTCTCAACCCTGGTTGCATCAATTCTACTTAATCAAAATAAAATGTCAAACTGACCTCACAATTTCAGCTAGTTTGTTATAATGCTGAAGTAAAAGCTGGTGCTTATGGTTACTTCCCAGAATTAATCCTGTAAATTTTCTAAGTAATAGAGGTCAAATGCCTTTATGCAGTGAGGAATGGTGGATAATGCCAGTTTTCTGTCTTCATACCCAAATTACCTACCTGAGGTTCAGCCAGGCTTTTTTGCTCAACCTTTCATTAATCTCGAAGGTGCTTGTGCTGTAGAAGATGCTACCTATACTTTTATACCAGGTTACAATTTCTCGTATGTTCTTCCACTCTGCTACTGGTGTTTTTTTCTATTCCAGTGGTCTTCACCTGTGTGAGGACTTGCCTCTGAAGAATAGTCCCTGGCCTCATCAGGTGCTTTTCTATCCAGAAAGGTTACTGATCTATGCAAACGGCTCTCTCATTTGTTCAGTTTTATTGCGGCACGAGCTTCCCATCTTCCTGCAATACCGAAAAGAACGGTCAGCTGCTCATGTGCGGCTTCGATTTTTATTTTTTTTTTTTTCTCCCGGAACACCACCACCAAAACCCCACTCTTCATCTCGTCTTTCCTCCTTCCCTCCCGCCCTCTAGAGCCAAGCGTGTAAAGGGGTGGGGGGGCCCTTCCCTCACGGCCAGTGCCGGAGCGCCGCGGTGAGGGGCACCTGCGGGAGCGGCCGTCGCATTTCCCAGCTCCTCCGAAGGCAGAGCCCCGAGGCAAAACAGGGCACGGCCTGCAGCAGGTAGCGGCTCCCGGGTACGGGATCCTGAGGTACCCGCCTGTCCCGCTGCGCGGGAGCGGCCACCCACTCCCAGAGACAGTGCCCGGAGCCCAGAGCGTCCTCCTTCCTCCCCAGCACCGAAATAAGGCGAGCCCCTTCCCCTCCCATGCCCCCCCCCCCCCCGAGCTCCCGGTGCCTCCCCGTGCCCCCTGCCGACTCCAGGCCGCAGACGGAAGGAGCCGCCCCTTTCCCCCACCCGGGGCTCCGCGACACCCCTCTCCCCCGGCCCGGCCCGGCCCGGCCCGGCCCACCCCAGCCCCCGCTGGGCACGGCTGCTTGCTTCCTTCCTCTCCGCCCTCCCTCCCCTGCCGCCGCTCCCGGCTGCCCGAGGCGGCGCAGCGGCTCTGGCGCAGTCTCGCGACACTTCCCACAGCGCCTGAGCCGAGTCGCCCCGCTCTGTTCGGCTCCGCTCGCTCCGCCGGCAGCAGCAGCCGCCTGCGGCGTGGAGGGATCCGGCTGCTCGCTTCTCGCACCCTCGCCGTGCCGAGTGCACGGCCAGTCCCGCGGCTCGGCAGCCTGCTCCTCTGGGCGCCGGAGCTCGGCCGCGCTCTCTCTCGGGCTGCTGTGCCGGGCGGCAGCAGGGACCCAGGTGGCTGGCAGGAGTCGAAAGCTGAGCCCTCTCTCTCGCTTCGTTTCCTTTTTTCGTTTTTTAATACACACGATACTTATGCCGGGAGAAGTCGAGGTGCTGCTGCTAACAGGACGCGGAATGCAGCCCGGCTGCAGCGAGTGCTGAGAGCGGCGGCCGCCGGAGGAGGGAGCGGCTCTGTCAGCAGCCTCTTCTTCCCGCGGCGGCTGCTCGGCTCGGGCTGTCTCTCACCCCCTTCGCCGTGGCAACCCGCCTCAAACTTTCAGCCTGTTTCCGCCGCCAGGCAAAGCCCAGCTCGACATAAATGGGTGAGTTCAAGCCGCCGGCTCCGAGTTGCCGGTACTGTGGAGGCTGCTCAGCGGGTGGGGTGCATGCCGCTGCCGCGACGGGGGGGCGGTGGGGAGGGAGCTGCCCGCCGCCAGCCTTCGCTCCTCCGCCTCACGGCTTTTAACTTCTCCTCCCCTCCCCCGGCGGAGTCAGTAATTGTTTTCATGTGACAGGCAGCGAGGTCGGGGTTTGCGGCGGCGGGGTGAGGGCCGGGCGCCCCTCGAGGCTGCCGCTGTGGGCGATCCCGAGCGGGGCTGATGGGGTTGCGAGCCCCTCTTTCCGTTGGGCACAGCCACCCCTGGCAGCGTGGGGTGTGGTGTGGTGGGGCCGGGCGGGCATAGAGAGAGGGGGCCTCCGCTCCGGGCGCGCAGGTTGTGTTCCGTCCGCTGAGGGGAGAGCTGAGAGAAAGCGCGGGGCGGCCTTTGGGACGTGCTGTACCGCCCCGCCAGAAGGGGGCGGTAGTTGCGGCCATTGCGCAGGGGTCGCTGGGGGCGTTGCGAGGAGGCGGTTGCGTTCGGCAGCGTCTGCCCGTGAGGTGGCTCCCGCGGACTTCGGGAAGAGGCAGCGCCCGCTCGCCCAACCCGGGGTGCGCAGCGCCCGCTACCTGTACGGGGCGGGGTCCTGGTCAGCGGGAGGGGTGAGGATGGGAATGAATTGTCCCATTATGTGGGGCGAGGCGGCGGCGGTGCCAGGCGCGGGCTGGCTGAGCGATGCGCCCCGGGGCGTCGCTGGAGCGGCGCTGGCCCGCGGCTCCCTCTGCCCAGCACTGTGCCCGGCGGAAAATTATGTCTCGGAGGGAACAAAAGAACCCGCCTGCTGTCGGTAAGCAGCCCTGGGTGTACCCACTGGCCAGCGTGTGAAGGCAGTGGTGAACGGTGCTTCAAAACACCGCCGTTCAGATGTCCTCGGCTGCCCGCTATACTACTCACGGTAGCAGAAATACTGTTGGGCTGTGGGAGACCCTGAGAGCAGTATCACTAAAACGACTAAATGTAATGCCTTACGTGGCAGACATTTTACACATTTGTTGTAATACAGTGACATTGGGAATACAGTAGGGAAGAAATCGTCCCTTTGTTCTTTGAGAGGTTACTTTGCGAGATACTATTAAAGCGATGTGCAGTTCCTGTACATGCATGATACAAGATTAAGTACTAGCTTTCCAATATTGACTTTCAGTTAGTTCTCCAATTCAGGCTGAAATGCATTCATCCCTATGCAGGTCATTAAGCTGTATTGATCTGGGTGAACTCTGATATTGCTGACAGTAGCCCAGCAGCCCAGACCACCATACTTAATTGTAGAGAGCATTGTAGAAGACTCTGTAAGGGTTGATTTGCCTGTCTTGGTTAACACAGCTCTCCCAACTTCGGTCTTCTGTAGTAACAGATAAGATTTTAAACATAGCTGCTTTAATGAGAAGTAGGGTTTGTTAACTGCTGAGCTGAGCAAAATCTGTCTTCAGTAAGGCATGTCACTGGAATTATTTTTTTTTAATTATTAATATTGTTTTCTTATCCTCTCTTAGTCCATTTATTCCATATCAACTTTGTATTGTGATACAATAAGACTTTTCTGATTTCTGATTAATCCGTACTCCAAATATTACCCTTTTTTAGCTTCATGGTACAAAAGATTAAGGAAAGCAAAAGACCAGTGAGGTAACTTACATTGATAGAGCTCTAGGAAGGTTTTTGAATACTGTAGCTTAGCAGTGAAGGCCATCTTTTTCTTTTACCCACCCTTCCCTCCCCTGGGCTGGCCATGACTGTACACATCTGTCTTTAAAACTCATTTGGATAATGACTTTACCAAATTGTTGTGATTCAGTCAGACTTCTTTTTGAAAAATGGGGGTGGAAGGAAGGTAGATATGGTTTAATTTTTGTTTATATGTTTACATGGTGATTCTTGTAGTTTAAAAACAAATGGAGAAATTGTGTAAGGAAGTGAAGATAGGAGTAGTATGCAAGGCAGATCTTTATAGGAGATAACAAATCAAACCAGAGATTTATTAAAAAAAAACAAAAAAACACTGTTAGCATTTTTTAAAGAAAGATACTTCAGATGCAGAAGAGAATAAGTGAATTCTATGTGGACACAGTTAGGTTTTCTGATGTTTTATTTTTAAATTACTTGTATGCCTTCCATTTCAACCATTTATATTTTCTGTATGGAGCTGCATATTGCTATTAGTCCAGCCCTGTGCATGTGTATTTTACACATCTGTGTATATTATAGTTCAGCTTTTCATTAAAGCTTTTTCATGGTACGTACTCAAAACCTTACAAGAAATACAGCTTTATCATGATGTAGTTTGTGAGTTATTGTATGACATTATAGGTAGAGTACCTTAAAGTGAATTAGTTTACACTTGGAATAGACTTGTGAAATAATGGTGGTAGTTCTCTAAACATAAAAGCGGGGCAAGGCAAATATCTTAAAGGTAATTGTGAATGTAGTGGAACAAGCTTGGTCCCCCTCCTTAAATGTCTGAGAAATGAAGAGGTGGTGTTTTGGGGGGACTTGTATGTATGTGTGGGTTGTTTGTTTGGTGTTGCTTTTAGGTTTGATTTGTTCTCTTAAAAAGACTACTTAGAATTGCACATGGTAGAACTCCTCAGTCTCAACTGCAAAAGCTTTTAAAGCCCACAAATCAGACTGTTCTCCTGAAGTTGGAGGTCCAGAAAGCAAAGTAAGAAGAAGGCATGGTGGCTACTTGGGGAAAAACTGGTTTGCAATGTACTGCTTATCAAATTTGGAAAACAAAAAATTTGGACTGCAAGTCTAGAGAGTCTAGAGAGCAACGTTTAACTGCCATCATCACAAAACAACTGATGTGTAGCTACTTGTGTCAGTTGAGACACACCTTCCAACTTCTGCTGTAAATGAAGAGCCTTTTCCTGCAGTGCAGTCTTTGCTCACCTTCAGAGCACGGTTTAGTGCATTAAAGGAGGTATGGATCTGTAGAATAATACCACTATGAAGCTAAGCAGTTGAAGCAGCCATCATAATGCTTGTAAATACTGGGTTATAAATAAGCCCTTGAATCATCAATATTTTTTTATCTTAGTATTTTTCAAGGTAATGTTAAAGCTTTTCTGTTGGGAAAGGGGAAGAGAGGACACATTGCTTTTGTTTACATGAAATCACATTGATCACCTCTGTTGTTGCCATAGTTAGGAGTTTGGCTCCAGCTAGTCTTGTGCCCTTTCAACCAGTCAGATTACTGATACTGCAGACAGCTATTGTCTGCACAGTTTTACTTTAGTGATTGAGAAACATGCTTTGCTGTGAAATACCACAGCTAGTTTGTACACACCAGAGCAACTTTATGCCAAGAAGTAATGCAATCAAAAGAATCTGTGTGAGAGGCTGGTATGTTCTGTTCCAGTTGATATCCCTTTTCCCGTTTTCCCCTTTTGTTAGTTATTTTTTCCTTTCCATATTCTCCTCTGCCCCCTGCCCTCAGCTTCTGTTCTGCTTCCCCCATAAACCCTACCTTTTTATCTTTCCGCCTCTACTTCTCTTTACATGCTTCAGACATGTCAGTTCCTCTTTCTCCCTCTCTCTTACCGAAACATCAACAGAGGGAGCACTCTGAGCACATTTCCTGCGTGTGGGTCCACACTGACCTCCAGCAACCAGGAGCTGTGCTTGCATCAAAACTTCCACTTGGCCCTGAGGTGTGACTTGGAGAGCACTCACTGCAACAGGAGCCCTGGGGAGTTTATCTGGTAGACTCTAGTAACATTACACTCCTGTATAAAATGAAGCATTTTTGAGGCCTAAGCTTAGCAGAAGTTTTATAAATCACAGGTGGTAGGTGTGTTTGTGGTTCTTGACTACTCTGACAAATTTGAAGCTCTGCCCAAAATGGTGGAGAGTTTGGATCCTTTCAGAAAAATAGCTGTGAGATGTTTTTAAATAGGAATAGCATGTGTCATTCTAGTCATTGTTGAAAACAGTTGAACAGTTTCAGCTGAATAAGGAAAAATCATAAGAAAAATTATTAGCATGACTTTTTTTTTCATTTTTATTTTTTTCTAAATAAGGTTTTAAGCACCTGTAAAGTGGCTTTATAGAGGAAATGTTGCATAAAAATCCTCCCCAACCTGTATAAAGTCTGTTCTCCTCCTCGTATGGGATCTTATTAATTTTAATTCTTTTGTTATCATTGGTAGGTTTGTTTCTCACAACAAGGCGGTTGCATTGGAGCTGTTCAAGATCACATTTCCAGTTGTTTGGTGACAATATTATATAGCCTGTGAATGTCTTCATGATCCGAGTTCAAGTGGAGTTTTCATAAACCGTAATAAAATATTTTCAGTAACCTATATAAAATACCATACCAAAAAATCTGGCATGAAGCTATTTTTCCCTAGCAATCAAAAAATAATGACATTTATGTTGTAAAAGGTTGTCAGATCTGCCTTCTGAACAGAACAAGATAGGGGTTTGAAATAAAAAATAAAAAATATGAAATATATACATGTGTGTATATGTAAAAATTTTTGAAAATAATTTCTGATTTTGCAGTCTGTTTTGTGTGTTGGTATCTCTTCTGTTTGCTCCTTTCTCAGTGTCTACATTACAGTTGGGTTTTTTTAATAGTAGTTGTTGCTTTTGGATCAGAAAGTGTGATAAGGAAGAGATACTTAAAATAGAAGGTTTCTTAAAGCCACAGAATTTTTGCTCCTCTTTGTGCTGATCAAGGATTCATCTGTAGAAAATTGTGGTAGAGCTGCTAGAAAAGTTGTGGGGTTTTTTTTTTTTTTTGGTTTGGTTTTGGTGTTTTTAGCCTACTTAGTCTTAAAGAATTATATTTAATAATTAAAACGCTTTCTTACGAAGCAGTTTTTTTGTGATATTAATGCAGAGTGCATACATCTTTCTGTGTAAACTGCTACTAATGCAATTGATACAATTAGTCTGTAATGTGATTCAGATTTGCTTCTTTGGTAGTTGTTATTCACTGGATG